TCCCTCAGGAAGTACAATTCCTGGGAGGTGAATTCAACATAACTTTTTCCTCATCACCACTTTCCTCCCTGCCACAATATATACTGCTATGGATTCCCAATTTATATGTTGGAGTCCTAATTCGCAATGTGATGATATTTGGAGGTGGGACTTTTGGGAGGTAATTAGGTTGTGAGTGTTGAGCCCCAGTGCATGGGATTAGTGCCCTTATAAGAAGAGATGTGAGAAAGATGATCTCTCTCTCTGCCATGTGAGGATACAGTGAGAAGGTGGCTGCCTATAAGCCAAGAAGGCTCTTGCCAGACACCAAATCTGCTGACACCTTCACCTTGGACTTCTCAGCCTTCAGAACTGTAAGAAATAAATGTTTAGACCATCCAATCTATGGTATTTGTTATAGAAGTGCAAGCTAAGACACATACCTACATACTTAAGATGCTGCCTTTCTTTTCTCCCTGATTTTCAGCAAGACGTGAATATCCCTTTTCTGGGCTTTAAACCAGACTTTGGATTACAAAGAAGAATCTAGTGTGATCATGGGGTCACTCCTGAAGACCTAACTAGAGGAGAAAATGTAACAGAGGTGTCAAGTCTTAAAAGATCTTGGAGAGAAAAATTGAGAGAGACCCAGAATTGTTTTTCCTCATGTGGCATATAGTGGGTATGAATTTCTCAAAATCCAAAACTCAGATGTGCAAGAAAGGAAAAGTCTTAGATTTTTTTTTCTAAATTCCAGTTTAATATCTATTTAGAGACTCGATTCTTCCTGATGGCAGTAACCATAGTTTTAGTCAATTCCTGGCAAACTTAGTCACTTCAAATTTTAATGTAGGCAATTCTCTGATTGCATTTAAGTAGCCTCTTGGCTCCAGGGAAGGAGGAAGTATCTGGGCCTTGGTTAGTAGTTGTCCATGCTGTCATTTGCTGAGGTCATCGTGTATGGTTTCCAGATGTAGTCACTACACTACAGTAGCTTCTGCTGAGATGTTCATGCTCCTAGTAATTCTCAGCTATATGATCCAAGCTTTCGTATGCTTCACTGTTCCCTGGTCATGACTACAAATTTCATTCAGGGCTCTTCACTCTCTGTCAACTAATTCTGTAAACCTAAGCCAGTTTAGTCTCATACAACTTTAGGTTATTTTAGTAAATAATAGTAACCACCACAAAACTGACTTACTCTCCATAAATTATGCCACAAATACAGACCTTATTAAAATAATTCATTGGCAAGCAGGCTCAAAAACATTTATACAAACTGTTCGGTAAGATCGATGAAGTCCGAGCTCTCTGTTCTTTTGAAGTGCTCCAACTACCCCTTTCATGAAATGTTTACTTGAAGCAGATGCAACAATATACAGAGGCAGAATTCTGTACCCTTGGAGTCTCATGAGGCAACCAGAAGTCCTCTGACTCAATGATTGGACACAGGTTCTGTTGTGGGTCAAGCCTTGGGCATTATCCTTGAGGGTACAGGTTACAGGCCTGGGTGGACTTTTAAAAAAAATTTTGGCTGCGTAGGGTCTTTGTTGCTGCACGAGGGCTTCCTCTAGTTGCGGTGAGCGGGGGCTACCCTTCGTTGTGCTGCGCGGGCTTCTCATTGCGGTGGCTTCTCTTGTTGTGGAGCACGGGCTCCAGGTACACGGGCTTCAGCAATTGTGGCTCGCGGGCTCTAGAGCGCAGGCTCAGTTGTTGTGGTGCACAGGCTTAGTTGCTCTACGGCATGTGCGATCTTCCCAGACCAGGGCTCAAACCCATGTCTCCCTGCATTGGCAGGCGGATCCTTAACCACTGCACCACCAGGGAAGCCCTGGGTGGACTTTCGTATTCTGTTCATTGAACAACATATCTGAAATTCCACTCGTTTCCACAATGAGACCTTGTTTCTAACATTCATTATGCTAGTTAGAAAAGCTAGTATTGATGGAGATGTGGATAACAGAAGGTGTATATTCCTATGGGCTGTCTCTGGAGGGTGGGCTCCTGATTTGCACGGCAGATGGCCACTTCTGGCATTTCAATTCCTGCTTTGGGTAACCTTAGTTCAGGCTGCTATCACAAAAATATAGACTGGGTGACTTAAACCACAAACATTTATTTCTCTCAGTTTCGGAGGCTGGGAAGTCCAATATCAAGGCACTAGCAGATTCAGGGTCTGGTGAGACCCCTCTTCCTGGCTTGTAGATACACGTCTTCTTGTATCCTTCCATGATGGAGAGGAGAGAAAAAGGGCAGCTCTCTTTCTCTTTTTCTAAGGACACTAGTTCCCTCATGGAGGCTCCATCTTCATGATCGAATTACCCCCAGAGGCCCCACCTTCAAAGGCCACCACATTAGGGCTTCAACATATGAATTTTTGGGAGACACAAACATTTAGTCCATAACTGGAAACTAAGAGGTGGGGGTGATGTGGGAAGGAGTGAGGATACATGGATTAGTACTTCAAAATACTATTCTACTCTGGAAATGTACTTTTCTCTCTTGAGAGGAAATGCAGAAGTCTGTTTGCTCATAAACCAGCAGCAGGAGGTGGATAACCCTTTTAGATAAATGTTAACATTGTTATTTTTTTGTGAGAAGAGAGACCACTGACATGTTGGTTAAGAGAAAATTTAAACTGACCTGATCTAAATTTAGAAAGTAAATCTTGGAGCTTTCCTTTTCTTAAGATAATCTAGTTTATCCTTATTTTAATTAATCATTACATCACAGAAGGTTGCCTTTTCTAATTAACACACAAAAAGGCAGGAATTATAAAGAACCTTGAAATATCTTAATCCCTAAGTATGAAAACCATACATTGAGAAAAATAATTTTAAGAAACTTAATAGTAAGTATCTAGCACATAGTAGGGCCTCATTAAACATTTGTTTTTGAATGAATGAATGACTGAATAAGTGAAAGCATGATGCCAAAAAGCTAAGGGGTATGTTATCAAAACACAGGCAAAGACATGGCAACCTTACACATAGTAGAAACTTCTAGATGACTGAGAGAGTTTTTTCTACAGACACGGTCATAGAGAAAACAACTCTGCCCAAATCTCACGGGAGAATTAGGATGAGGCATCCCCAGTGACTCTCCCATCTGTCCCTTTGAACTTGAAGCCCAGAGTCTCAGGGTCTCAGGCATTCTGCTGGGGACAGAGAGGGGTTGTGGGGACAAGAGGAAAGCCCCAAGAAGGCTTTTGCTCCTCTCTGAGTGTCAGAAAACAGAGTAGGGCAGAAATTGTCTGTCAGAAGAAATTTAGAAACATTTACTAAATTTTGACTCCTACATTGTACTGTTTATTTTCTTAACTTGATTTTATTTTTTTTCTCAAACTATGCAGGAGTAATTTAAAAGGTCAAATAGTTGAATGAGGCTTACAATAAAACTGAAAAGTGTCCTCTCTTACCTTTCTTTTCTCTCTATCCTTCCTCTAAAGGGGCAACCAGTTTTAACTCTTTTAGCTATTACCATGTTTATACTCTTATTTCCTATTTTTTCAGTTTTAGGCATGAATGATTAACTTCCTAATATGGAGGAGGACAATTTAGCTTGTGTACCCCTTTGAGCCTCTCCCATTTTGTCTTTGGAGGGAAGGAAACATAATTTTCCCTCTACCCTTCTGAGCTCTTGGCTGAGATTCCTGTAATAAGGGACAGATTGACAAGAGAAAAGCAAACAGCAGTTTATTAACATGTATACCTTATGTGTCTATGAGAGAGACCCAGGGAAAAATGAGTAACTCCCCCAGGTGGCTTAGAATTCAGACTTAAATGCCGTCTCAAAAGGATAAGGTGAGGGGGGGATGTACACCTCTTAGGTAAATGATTTTTAGGAATGATGAATGGGCCCTTAGAAGAATAAATGGGAGGTATGATAGTTTGTGACAAAGTTTGTCTGGTTAAGGTGTCCATTTCTAGTCTCCTCTCCTGTGATAAGAATCAATCTTCCCTGCTTATGAAACTCCTGGGAAGGGATTTATGGCAGTTGAGTTCCTTATGGCAACGGGAGAGGCCACCGCAATGAGAAGCCTGTGCACTGGAACGAAGAGTAGGCCCCACTCGCCGCAACTAGAGAAAGCCTGTGCACAGCAACGAAGATCCAACACAGCCAAAATAAATAAATTAAAAAAAAAAAAAAGACCGACTTCCCCCAAGCAAGAGAGAATTCTCAGCACACTGCCTTTGGACTTCAACTACAACACTGATTGGCTCGTTCTGTTGCTACAGCACAGAGCTTTCAGCTAGAACTGTGGCATCGGCTCTCTTGGGTCTCCAGCCTGCCAGCCCAGCTGGCAGATTTTAGACTTGCCATCCTCTGACTGTGTGAGCCAATTCCTTAAAAGAAACCCCTTGTTATACAAATATATATATATATATATATATACACACACACACATCCTATTGGTTCTGTTTCTCTGAAGAACCCTAAAACAGCCTCCTTTCTTACTTTAATTTCACTCTTACTCTTATCCACTCTCCAAGTTGCAACATGCAACTGGCTTCTAAAACTGAAATACGATACTTTCACTTACCTGTTGAAAAGCTCTTCAGTGTCTTCTTTACAGTTTTTCACAGTTCCAAGCTACTCTTCCACTTTATCCCCAGCCCCTCAAGGGTGAAATCTTCCTGAACACGCTGTGGTCTTTCCTCCTCTGTCCTTTTGCATGCATGGTTTCTTTGGGGACTGTCCTCCTCCTTCTTTTCCATTTGGAAAATTGGTCTTCTTTTAAGTCCCTGCCAATATATCACTCAAATGAAGTGTTAATAATGCTTTTTCTCTTTCCCAACAAGTGAAGGCTTTCCTTCCCTAGCCCCACAAAACCTCTCCTGTAGTATATACGAAAAGAAATGCAACCCAAATTGATCATATTGCATTGAGATTATTTGTTTTTGTTTCTCTTTCTTGTAAGACTCCAAGACTCTTCAAGGCGGGGCGGCAGGGGGCGGGGG